TATATATATATATATATATCTTCAAACACCAGAAACATTAATATTAATAAAATACCTATCGAACCGATGAATTTTCACGTGCCGCCATCAAATTATTGAGAATTTAATAAAAAAGAAAAATATGAGTCTGGGTCTTACCATGAATTTTGATATTATATTGAGAAATTGAAATATAGATGAAAGAGGGTGGTTGATTTGTAAATAGCTAGTTTAGTTGGCCAGTGTGTATCATAACTGTTATTCTTATAATTAGCCTCAATGAACATAGATGATAAATAGGCGGAAAAATGTATATAAACATTGCTGAATCTCAAAGAAATTCCAAGAGACTTGCACAAGTATAAAATCAGAATCACGAAAAATATGCAGCACAAACTTGAAGTTTTTTCTCTTTATGCAGCATTTCAAAAAAAGAAAAAAAAAAGGAATATTTACACAAGTACCACTCAATTCCAATGCATTTAGATATCTAACACCTAAATTTCAATCTTTACAAATATGCCACCATACATCAGCATGAACAAGGTGGAGTACTTCACTTTTTAAAAGTCAAAATAGTGATATTCTTTATCTGATATGAAAGTTTTGGCTGGTAACAATGAAAAAAAAAAAAAGGTTAAAATGCTAGATACATAAATACATAAGGATTGGGTGGCAGGCATGTCCAAGCTCCAAAATAAAATCAATAATACTCTATAAAGTAGCTCTATGTGCGGACTACAATAATATGCCGTCACGTTTGCTGTATCACGGAGGTTATTTCGGGATTATTTTGGGGTCATTAAAGAAAAACTAATATATTACACCTCAATAACCCAGAAATAACACTGAAATAAACTCCGCGGTTCCACTTCAATAACCCTGAAATAACACCGCGAATGTTATTTTTGGGTTATTGAAGTGAAATGTACGATTTTCTCTTTAATAACCTTAAAATAACATCTGCGGTGTTATTTCAGAGTTATTGAAGTGGAATTGCGGAGGTTATTTCGGAGCTATTGTGGAGTCTGCGGTTCTACTTTAATATTTTTTTAGGCGGGCCCGATATAACACATATGGCGGTATATTACTCGGAGTCCGCACGTAGAACAATGTTCAGAGTCCGAATATAATATTTTTCCGTAAAATGGAACTCTATTTGTAAAAGGAAAAGATTCAAATACTTCTTTAAAAGCCAAAGAATTCATAATCAAGCCTACCATGAGTAACCATCAGAACACTAAACTATAAGCTGAATCCAACTACAGACACCAAAAATTCTTATTGTAGAGAGAAACAACATAAATGAGAACAAAATCAAAGTATTTCTGCCATGAATACTATGGAACCTAAAGAAAGCTTACAAGAACTGAGGGATTAGTACTGCTGAAAGGAGGATGGCGACAAAAGCTTCTCCTCAAGGTCTTTGAAGCCTTGATAAATTGGCTCGATCTGGCTTTGCGGCAGAGCCAACCGCCGCACTTCAGTCATATACCTGTTAGCAGCGAAATAATTTGTTATTGAAGCTCGTACACGAGAGAACATCGTATCATCATCATCATGGTTAGTCTTATCGCAACAATTTGGTGTGGGCTGGCTTAATATGCCACACTAGAAAACATGTGATGCATTATACAAGGCTACACATGAATCCTTATTCTTATTAGTCAACTCACAAAATGTAAAAATTAGATTAGGAAGATGTACATGCACGCTACTCAATTCCCGTGCATTTGCATACCTAACACTAAACTTCAATTTATACATATATGTTATCTTACCTATGCATGAAATGGTGTATTTCACATTTTGCGATATAAAAAATTTGGGTGGTATAATGTTAAAAAAAAGAAAAATGTTTAGGGATTAGATATGAAAATGCTTAGGAATTGGATGGTACGTATGTAAATGCCACATTGAATTTATATAAGAAAAATGGAAGAAGAGTACAACTAACCTACAAATAGGGATAAAAGCAAACATAACCAAAGCACAAGTGGCATTTAGGAGAATTTATCCAACAAGAATCTATGAAAATTTAAGTCTCCACAAGGAAAAAAAAAAATAGTTTTTAATTAAAGGCAACTAAAATAACAAATCATGATAAACTCATTGAAAACCAACCAAAAGCAAATTTAGTACATCCTTCAATAAGTTAGAAGGAAGATCAAAGTATTGTAATATTTGTTTGGTTTTGTTTCCTTCATTAAGGTGATTTTATTGAAATGCCTTAGGTACCACAATAATTGCATGTAAATTCTTGTAACACAGAAATTTCTCCTACAATTGCTAATTCTACCAAGTCCGTCGTTCTAGTTCCAGTAGGATGAAAGAGTTAAAATGATCCCGACCCTTTATAGGGGTTCATTTTAGTCCCAGATTTCACAAGTGTCAATTTAGTCACATATTTTTAAAATATGAGCCAAAATATGCCCAGGGAAGGACGATTTTAGCCCCAATTATGAGAGTCCAAGACTAATGTGAGACTTTTATAAAGTCTGGGACTAATAAAATGATTCAATATAAAATATTCAACATACTATTTTGGCACTTTACTCATTTCACTAGATATTGATAGAATTATTTATTCATATGAACACTTTAAAACATAGAACATATATTTTTCATCAGATGTAAAGACAAGTCTCCCTTAGAGGATGCATGAATAACTAGCATTAGATAATTTAGATGACTACATGGATACTAACTATCAAGAAAAAAATACGCAAAAGATTTGCTCCAAATCAACAAGCAAAAGCACAATTTCCAATAGGCCAATCACAAGAAGCCGATCCAAGCTACAATGAAAATGAATCAAACAAAATTTAAGCCTTTTTAGACATATTTTAGATGACTACATGCATTATAATTTTTGAAGTCTAACTATATCAAATTTATATGGAATATTCAACCACTCATCACATTCATGCTTCAAACAAAGCTTAATCCCATGAGCCTAAAGCTTCTTGTAATTTTGGATTAAATAGATATCAGGCTCAAAAACTATTTGGAATATATTCAAAACTCAGATGGCACACTATAATTTCTATTATTAACAAAAACAGATATTCGGCTTAAGTTCATTAGTAGGAAATAATTTAATTCTTCAAAAAATAACACTAAAAAATTTTTCCTAAGGAAACCATTAAATCATATTCATACAGAGATAGTACGATGGTACAAACCTGTTTGTAGCACTAGCTATTTTATCCCGGATTCCTCTTTGCATTACTGCTGTCTGCTCCAGTGCTGAAGTTCTGCCAAACATAAAGGAAGCTCCAGTTGTTGTAGTGCCGAGCTTATCAGCAAGAACCAACATAACCCACTCACGAAGAACCACGAGAACTGACTTCAGAAGCCGAAGCCTCAGAGCTTGCAAAGGCACAATAGCTCCATTTGATAACAACTGATCATAAACAGACAGCACTAGTTCCGGTCTGCCCCGACAGGCAGCAAGAAGACTTCTTGCAATTTCTTCGTCTCCAACTACTTCAATGCCTGAAGACAAACGTTCCTGCAGAATTTTCAGTTTTAGATGCCACGTCAAGAGAGGAAACAGTATAAAATTCTAGCTAACATGTGAACTCTACAGCTATTTTAACAGGGGCGTTTACATACATATGACATAATTTTTACATACTTACATATCTCCCACCTAAACTTTCATATTTACATAGCACTCAAATCTTTAATATCACACCGAAAATAGCACTATAATCACCTTTTTTTTAAGTTGAATACACATTTTTATTTATAGGTTTAAAGCATAAAACCACTATGTATGTAAGAATGATAGTTCAGATGTGAGATGTAAATAAATAACTATGAGCTACGTATGTATATTTTCCATTTTAATAATGAATGCTATCACAACGGAAGAAACAAAATGAAAAGTTAGCTGGTTTTTACTTGCATAAAATTTAAAATATATATATATATATATAAAACAATGAGCAAAGTGAATACTGAAGGGAAAAGGAGAGTTGTGACAAGGATATCTAGGCAAGTCTTACCAGAGCAGCCTTCTCAAGGTGAAGGCATAATGTGTCCAAGGGTATGAAGGATCCATCCACGGAATAAAGGTTTGATCCCACCCTCTTCAGTACGTTACATGCTTCAGCAATGCCACCTGTTGATAGGGCCTGATCAATGAGTCTAGCCCATGTTTCTCTAACAATTTTACTGTCCGCATCTCCAGAATAGTTTGCAAAATTAAGCATTTCCAGGCATAACTAGAAAACAAAAGTTACTGTTAGTATTTAAAGTTACTACGAAAGCTGGAAAGAAACTAATAAAAAATTATACAGAAGACACTAATGAAGTATTTTAGTCTGTAACTGGAACACAAGTTGAAAGAAAAAAGCTAAGTTGACCTAACCTAAAAATTCAAATACAGAAAAGTGGTGATCATGGTATGGCAACTAACATATACTAGCATGACGAAGAAATACTCTTCTATCATCAGCTTTTATTCCTTAACCAAAGAGAGTATGAGCACATGCCATACAAATCAGGAGACAAGGAAAAACCAAACTTTACAGGGCGAAAATGTAACAGCAAAAATAAGGTCGGATGTACAACTTTTCCACCAACTAGCCAACACAGAGAAAGAAAAAACTAATTAAAAAATCCAAGGGTATGAACCGCTAAGGGCTTGTTTGAATTCAATTTTGTTTATTATTATTGTTTTCCTTTTTCTTTTTCTTTTTATTTTTCTTTTTTCTTTTTACGTATATTTATTTACTGTGTTTTTTACATATTTTTATTTTATTGTTTTAAAAATAAATTAAAATGTTTTTTAGATATTTTGATTATTTTTAAAAAAAATTACCCATTAATCAAATAGACGACTTCAAATCAAAACATGAATTAAAATTAAAATAAAAGACCAAATAGAAAATAAAAAAAATAAAAGTTATCACAACCGGCTCTAAATGCTTGCAATTTAATAATGCCAGCACGTTGATTGGGAAAAACGCACTTTTCATACATGCTGAGCAGATAGAATTAGCTTTATCAACCAATATAAAGTTGAAGCCTTGTGCAAGTAGGCATGCCTCCATAGTCGTATTTCTTTCTCATTTCATTTTGTGCTCAAGCATAAGCTAGGAAACAAAACAAGTTAGTCTATGTGTTGAGTAGCCGCCAATTATTGATCACTACTATAAATTTCTAGGAGTTCGCTCTAGGAAAACATTTTCCATGAAGGGTTTGCATTTTGTATCAATAAAAATCAAGATGTAAAAAAGAAAGCTATAAACGCTATACAAAAGATGCAGTGTGAATGATGTCATCCTCAAGCACACTCAAAAAATCAGGGTCACAAGTGTGGGCATCCTAAAACAAAGACCTATCCAAAGCCAACCTTTCACAAAAATGGGTTGCTTTGTGGCATTCCCCATAAACAAAAAAAAAAGAGTGATTGTTTAAATTCAAACAAAAAAGCTAAATTGCGCTTAGTACCAAGTTGTATTTCATGGTTCTGCTGCTCCAGTCTCTTCTTGAAGTATTATATGATAGTGTTGTTATCGCCCTCAATGATAATATGCTTGGTTTCATATAGCCAAGGCTCCAATAATATACCAATAAAGATGATCGCATCATGCTCCACTTGTGGAGAGATATGACACAACATTTTAGTAATAGCAATGCTTTCCTTGGTGAAATAACTATATTGGTCGGGATTGATACGAGATGTGGAGAGATAAGTTCAACAATGTAAGATATATCATTTAGCTAAGATCAAAAGGCAAATTATTTGTTTTTACACTCTGCAACTTAGAGTTACCTTGGATAGATGTAATTGCAAACTTTATGATGGGTTTGCCCCAAACACAACAAAGTAAGGATTTGGTTGGGATAGTAGTAGACTATTTTTCCAACATGATATGCTTTGTATCTTGCTACATGACGATTGACGCTTCACACATTGAAATTTTATATTTCAAGAAAATAGTTTGCCTTCATGGTGTACTTAGGACCATCACTTCAAAAAATGATGAGAAGTTTTTAAATCTCTTTTGGAGAACCTTATGAGCTATAAGCTAAGTACAAAATTCTAGTTTAATTCAACAATGCACCCTCAGACAAATGTACAAACAAATACAGTGAATAGCAATTTGGAAATCTCCTCAGGTGCTTTTTGTGCAAAAATATCTAAAAGGGCTTGACTCTTTAAAAGGTTGAATTCACTTGCAACAAATCCACTAATCAATTCACATGTCATAACCCCATTAAGATTGTATCTGTGTGGAACACCCTCACATTATTAGAGCTAATACCGATATTTCCTTTAGTATTGATATGTGCCAAACAAATTCAGACCCTAAATGAGCAAGTTAAAAAATTCTCAGACATAAACCTAAGTATCAAAAATAAAATAATAATTCCAAGAAGGACATGATTTTCAAAGAAGGAGATTTTGTGAGTAAAAGAGTAAAAGGAAGGTTTCCTGAAGTTTCAATTAGTAAACTCAAACCTAGAGCTGACAGTCCATTAATTGTTAAGATGATCAATGACAATGACAACAACAACAAGCCTTTATCCCACCAACTGGAGTAAGCTACATTAATATTTTTTCTCCATTGTGTCCCATTAAGTGTGATATTTTATTTTAGTTCTAAAAAATTAAGATCGTCTTTATACAATATGCCCAAGTTTTTAAAGATCTACCTCTTCCCTCCTTAACATAAGTCAAATCTAAAACATCTACTCTCCTAACTGAATTATTAGGAAGTCAATGCTTAATGTGCCAAAACCATCTAAGACGACTATCTCTAATCTTGTCTGCCACTGGAGCTGCACAAACTCTTTCACATATACATTCGTTTCGCATTTTCCCTCTAAGAGTCAAGCCACTCATCCACCTAAGCAATCTCATCACAGCAAATTTAACTTATTTTTATTTTTCTTTTTATAGGCCAAATTTCTACGCCATAAAGCAATGCAGGTCTCACCATAATCTTATAAAATTTTCTTTTTAAGTCTTGATACCAGAGTTAACCCAAGCTACAATAGAAATGTAATAATATTGTTGAAATTCCAACGAGCAACAAACTTCTCTTAACAATAGAAAATTAACAACGCATACAAAAAACGTCCTTTGGACAAGAAAGATTTTGGCAGGCTACGGGTCGAGGAAGTGGAGTTTGGTAGCTGAGTGGAAGGAAAAGGCTAGATGCAGAAGCAGGGTGATAGTCAGGTGGCTGAACGGTAGGTGGGAACGACGTTGTGCGGGATGTTGTGGGTAGGCTCCATCAAAGAAGGCTGTAGAAGAAAGGATGAAACGATGAGACGTGGGCTACTATGTGGATACTGTGGCAAGGAGGGTTGCAGGGGAAGGCTGAGAAGATGGGAGAGTTGCTCTGGTATGTGGAGGCAACGACAGGGAGGGCTGACGGGATGAGGACTAGGCCACTGTGTCGAGGCTACCACAGAAAGGCTTACAGAACGAGGGCTGAGAAGAAGGGAGGGCAGAAAGGCAATCGAAGGGATTCCAACGTAGTGGCAACAAGCAAAAAAGTAAAAGATATGCACCAACTCCAAACAAGTTACAACTGGAACACCTAAATGATGTCAGATATAACCCAAGAGGGGAAAATGGGGACGACGACAAAAACTAAGCCTAAAATAGAAAATAATGAATATATAATAGATAACTAGAAGGGGAAAGCCCCTCCCCTTGAGTGGCAATCCTAGCCCCCAAATAGGAGTCGGCCATCCGCCCCTCTTGGCTAAATCGATCATATGTTTCCAGTTGGTTCAGCCCCTCGAGAAGCCCTGCGTCAGTCTCCCAGAATTGAGGAAGCTTCGATTTGATTCATTGAAGCTTCTAGTTCTTAGTCAGTCGTCCTTGCAGCTAGGGCTGTCAAAAAAGCTCGTTGTTCGCGAACAGCTTGTGTTCGGCTCGTTCGTTAAGTAAACGAGTCGAACACAAACAAGTTTTTAAAGATCGAATTATAAACGAGGCGAACACGAACAGTTCTTTGTTCGCTCGTGTTTGGCTTGTTTTAACTCGAAATAAAAAAATTATTTATATAATCATATATTACTTATTTGTATAATAATATATTTTATATATTTATATCTAAATTTAAATCATAACATCTCATGTGATAATGTGGTTAATCCTTTATTTTGTATATATTTGATCCAGGTTCGAATCCAACATTTTACATCTATTTTTTTCAATTTAATTTTAACGAGTCAATTTTGAGCCGAACACGAACACGAACACAAATATTTAAATCTAGTCGAACACGAACACACTGTTCACGAGCCAATTTCGAACGAGGCGAACACGAGCCAAGCCTGAGCTCGCTCAAGCTCAGCTCGTTTAGAACCTTACTTGCAACACCTAAATCCCACTGTCGGCTGCACTATCTCTCAAAGTAATTCAAGGTCAACTCAACCTGATATGAAGTTGGGGTAACCTAAGCCTCCCTGAACGATACTGTCTATGGTGGGTAAGATATGGACTGTGTTGCCCGATCCTTGTCGTGCAAATCCCGTGCCTAGAATCAACGTCTCAGTCTGATCCTCTATCGTCGCCAAAATTGATCCCACCGACGCAGCTCTGTTGGTGAGAGCAATTGTGAACTCAAACTCCGCAGAAGGTAGAAAGACAACGAGCTTACCATCCTTAATAAAGGAGTAGGTGTTCCCGAACCAGTCATGCTAACTCCTACGGTCGAACTGTCATGGTCTCCACAACATATAGCAAGCATACATGGGTATCACGTCGAACCACACCTAATCCTGAAGCTAGCTTCCAATCGAGAACTCCAGCGGGCACTTATGTCGTCTGTCAATGCTGACCCTGTTTTCCTTCTTCAGCAGCGTCAGGGAATGCCTCTCAGCCACAACGTCAAATTTTCATACTATCTGTGTACTCAACGCGTCCTTGTTACTCCCTTATCATCAAATTGTAGGACATGTCGAACCACAAGCATTTGCTTTCATCCAATAGAAGAAGATACACCTTACCTTGTTATTCAGCAACCTCCTCGTCACTAACCTCCTCCATTGCACCCTGTACAGTGAAAGACACAACTCAACTCGTCGGGCAGCTGGAGGCAATGTGGCAAAATCCATGGCATCTTAAGCATTTTCTGGAGGGGATTGTCGTAGGCGTGCTGCTGTTCTCGGGCTTCTTCTCACTCGGGATGGTTTTGACCACTTTTCTCAACTCATTGAGGCATGCTCCTGCTGATGTCTCCAACTGTGGGTGGCT